CGTGTGTCTCTGTGTGTCTCCCCGTGTGTCTCTGCGTGTCTACCCGTGTCTATCCGTGTCTCCCCTTCTCTCTGTGTGTCTCTGCGTGTCTCTGCGTGTCTCTGCGTGTCTCCCCCCGTGTGTCTCCCCCCGTGTGTCTCCCCCCGTGTCTCCCCGTGTCTCCCCGTGTCTCTCCCCGTGTCTCCCCGTGTCTCCCCGTGTCTCCCCGTGTCTCCCCGTGTCTCTCCCTGTGTCTCCCCGTGTCTCCCCCCGTGTCTCCCCCCGTGTCTCCCCGTGTCTCTCCCTGTCTCTCCCCGTGTCTCCCCGTGTCTCCCCGTGTCTCTCCCCGTGTCTCTCCCCGTGTCTCCCCCTGTGTCTCCCTGTGTCTCCCCGTGTGTCTCCCCGTGTCTCTCCCCGTGTCTCCCCGTGTCTCCCCGTGTCTCCCCGTGTCTCTCCCCGTGTCTCCCCGTGTCTCCCCGTGTCTCCCCGTGTGTCTCCCCGTGTCTCTGTGTCTCTCCCTGTGTCTCCCCGTGTCTCCCCGTGTCTCCCCGTGTGTCTCCCCATGTCTCCCCGTGTCTCCCCGTGTGTCTCCCCGTGTCTCTCCCCGTGTCTCCCCGTGTGTCTCCCCGTGTCTCCCCGTGTGTCTCCCTGTGTCTCCGTGTCCCTCCCTGTGTCTCCCCGTGTCTCCCCGTGTCTCCCCGTGTGTCTCCCCGTGTCTCCCCGTGTGTCTCCCCGTGTGTCTCCCCGTGTCTCCCCGTGTCTCCCCGTGTCTCTCCGTGTGTCTCCACGTGTGTCTCCCCGTGTCTCCCCGTGTGTCTCCCCGTGTCTCCCCGTGTCTCTCCGTGTGTCTCCCCGTGTCTCCCCGTGTCTCCCCGTGTGTCTCCGTGTGTGTCTCCCCGTGTCTCCCCGTGTCTCCCCGTGTGTCTCCCCTGTGTCTCCCCTGTGTCTCCCCGTGTCTCCCCGTGTGTCTCCCCGTGTCTCCCCGTGTCTCCCCGTGTGTCTCCCCGTGTGTCTCCCCGTGTCTCCCCGTGTGTCTCCCCGTGTCTCCCCGTGTGTCTCCCCGTGTCTCCCCGTGTCTCCCCGTGTGTCTCCCCATGTGTCTCCCCATGTGTCTCCCCGTGTCTCCCCGTGTCTCCCCGTGTCTCTCCCTGTGTCTCCCCGTGTCTCTCCCCGTGTCTCCCCGTGTCTCCCCGTGTCTCCCCGTGTCTCTCCCCGCGTCTCCCCCCGTGTCTCCCCGTGTCTCCCCGTGTCTCCCCGTGTCTCTCCCCGTGTCTCCCCGTGTCTCCCCGTGTCTCCCCGTGTCTCCCCGTGTCTCTCCCCGTGTCTCCCCGTGTCTCCCCGTGTCTCTCCCCGTGTCTCCCCGTGTCTCCCCGTGTCTCCCCGTGTCTCTCCCCGTGTCTCCCCGTGTGTCTCCCCGTGTCTCCCCGTGTCTCCCCGTGTGTCTCCCCATGTGTCTCCCCATGTGTCTCCCCGTGTCTCCCCGTGTCTCCCCGTGTCTCCCCGTGTCTCTCCCCGCGTCTCCCCCCGTGTCTCCCGGTGTCTCCCCGTGTCTCCCCGTGTCTCTCCCCGTGTCTCCCCGTGTCTCCCCGTGTCTCCCCGTGTCTCCCCGTGTCTCTCCCCGTGTCTCCCCGTGTCTCCCCGTGTCTCTCCCCGTGTCTCCCCGTGTCTCCCCGTGTCTCCCCGTGTCTCTCCCCGTGTCTCCCCGTGTCTCCCCGTGTCTCCCCGTGTCTCTCCCGTGTCTCCCCGTGTCTCTCCCCGTGTCTCCCCGTGTCTCTCCCCGTGTCTCCCCGTGTCTCTCCCCGTGTCTCCCCGTGTCTCCCCCCGTGTCTCCCCGTGTCTCTCCCCGTGTCTCCCCGTGTCTCCCCGTGTGTCTCCCCGTGTCTCCCCGTGTCTCCCCGTGTCTCCCCGTGTCTCCCCGTGTCTCCCCGTGTGTCTCCCCGTGTCTCCCCGTGTGTCTCCCCGTGTCTCCCCGTGTCTCCCCGTGTCTCCCCGTGTGTCTCCCCGTGTCTCCCCGTGTCTCCCCGTGTCTCTCCCCGTGTCTCCCCGTGTCTCCCCGTGTCTCTCCCCGTGTCTCCCCGTGTCTCCCCGTGTCTCCCCGTGTCTCTCCCCGTGTCTCCCCGTGTCTCCCCGTGTCTCCCCGTGTCTCTCCCCGTGTCTCTCCCCGTGTCTCCCCGTGTCTCCCCGTGTCTCTCCCCGTGTCTCCCCGTGTCTCCCCGTGTCTCCCTGTGTCTCTCCCCGTGTCTCCCCGTGTCTCCCCGTGTGTCTCCCCGTGTCTCCCCGTGTCTCCCCGTGTCTCCCCGTGTGTCTCCCCGTGTCTCCCCGTGTCTCCCCGTGTCTCTCCCCGTGTCTCCCCGTGTCTCCCCGTGTCTCCCCGTGTGTCTCCCCGTGTCTCTCCCCGTGTCTCCCCGTGTCTCCCCGTGTCTCTCCCCGTGTCTCTCCCCGTGTCTCCCCGTGTCTCCCCGTGTCTCTCCCTGTGTCTCCCCGTGTCTCCCCGTGTCTCCCCGTGTCTCTCCCCGTGTCTCTCCGTGTGTCTCCCCGTGTCTCCCCGTGTCTCCCCGTGTCTCCCCGTGTCTCCACGTGTGTCTCCCCGTGTCTCCCCGTGTCTCCCCGTGTGTCTCCCCGTGTCTCTCCCCGTGTCTCCCCGTGTCTCCCCGTGTCTCCCCGTGTCTCCCCGCGTGTCTCCCCGTGTCTCCCCGTGTCTCCCCGTGTCTCCCTGTGTCTCCCCGTGTCTCTCCGTGTGTCTCCCCGTGTCTCTCCGTGTGTCTCCCCGTGTCTCCCCGTGTCTCTCCCCGTGTCTCCCCGTGTCTCCCCGTGTGTCTCCCCGTGTCTCTCCCCGTGTCTCCCCGTGTCTCCCCGTGTCTCTCCCCGTGTCTCTCCCCGTGTCTCCCCGTGTCTCCCCGTGTCTCCCCGTGTCTCCCCGTGTCTCTCCCTGTGTCTCCCCGTGTCTCCCCGTGTCTCCCCGTGTCTCTCCCCGTGTCTCCCCGTGTGTCTCCCCGTGTCTCCCCGTGTCTCCCCGTGTCTCCCCGTGTCTCCCCGTGTGTCTCCCCGTGTCTCCCCGTGTCTCCCCGTGTGTCTCCCCGTGTCTCTCCCCGTGTCTCCCCGTGTCTCCCCGTGTCTCCCCTCGTGTCTCCCCGTGTCTCCCCGTGTCTCCCCGTGTCTCCCCGTGTCTCCCCGTGTCTCTCCGTGTGTCTCCCCGTGTCTCTCATGTGTGTCTCTCCCCGTGTCTCTCCGTGTGTCTCCCCGTGTCTCCCCGTGTCTCCCCGTGTCTCCCCGTGTCTCTCCGTGTCTCCCCGTGTCTCCCCGTGTCTCCCCGTGTCTCCATGTCTCCCCGTGTCTCTCCCCGTGTCTCCCCGTGTCTCCCCGTGTCTCCCCGTGTCTCCCCGTGTCTCTCCGTGTCTCCCCGTGTCTCCCCGTGTCTCCCCGTGTCTCCATGTCTCCCCGTGTCTCTCCCCGTGTCTCCCCGTGTCTCTCCCCGTGTCTCCCCGTGTCTCCCCGTATCTCCCCGTGTCTCCCCGTGTCTCCCCGTGTGTCTCCCCGTGTCTCCCCGTGTCTCTCCCCGTGTCTCCCCGTGTCTCCCCGTGTCTCTCCCCGTGTCTCCCCGTGTCTCCCCGTGTCTCCCCGTGTCTCCCCGTGTGTCTCCCCGTGTCTCTCCCCGTGTCTCTCCCCGTGTGTCTCCCCGTGTCTCCCCGTGTCTCCCCGTGTGTCTCCCCGTGTCTCCCCGTGTCTCCCCGTGTCTCCCCGTGTCTCCCCGTGTCTCCCCGTGTCTCCCCGTGTCTCCCCGTGTGTCTCCCCGTGTGTCTCCCCGTGTCTCCCCCCGTGTGTCTCCCCGTGTCTCTCCCCGTGTCTCTCCCCGTGTCTCTCCCCGTGTCTCTCCCCGTGTCTCCCCGTGTGTCTCCCCGTGTCTCTCCCCGTGTCTCTCCCCGTGTGTCTCCCCGTGTCTCCCCGTGTCTCCCCGTGTGTCTCCCCGTGTCTCCCCGTGTCTCCCCGTGTCTCCCCGTGTCTCCCCGTGTCTCCCCGTGTCTCCCCGTGTCTCTCCCCGTGTGTCTCCCCGTGTCTCTCCCCGTGTCTCTCCCCGTGTGTCTCCCCGTGTCTCCCCGTGTCTCCCCGTGTCTCCCCGTGTCTCCCCGTGTCTCTCCCCGTGTCTCTCCCCGTGTCTCCCCGTGTCTCCCCGTGTCTCCCCGTGTCTCTCCCCGTGTCTCCCCGTGTCTCCCCGTGTGTCTCCCCGTGTCTCCCCGTGTCTCCCCGTGTCTCTCCGTGTCTCCCCGTGTCTCTCCGTGTCTCCCCGTGTCTCCCCGTGTCTCCCCGTGTCTCCCCGTGTCTCCCCGTGTCTCCCCGTGTGTCTCCCCGTGTCTCCCCGTGTCTCTCCCCGTGTCTCCCCGTGTCTCCCCGTGTCTCCCCGTGTCTCCCCGTGTGTCTCCCCGTGTCTCCCCGTGTCTCTCCCCGTGTCTCCCCGTGTCTCCCCGTGTCTCCCCGTGTCTCCCCGTGTCTCTCCCCGTGTCTCCCCGTGTCTCCCCGTGTCTCCCCGTGTGTCTCCCCGTGTGTCTCCCCGTGTCTCCCCGTGTCTCCCCGTGTCTCCCCGTGTCTCCCCGTGTCTCTCCCCGTGTCTCTCCCCGTGTGTCTCCCCCTGTGTCTCCCCGTGTCTCCCCGTGTCTCCCCGTGTCCCCCCGTGTCTCCCCGTGTCTCCCCGTGTCTCCCCGTGTCTCCCCGTGTCCCCCCGTGTCTCCCCGTGTCTCTCCCCGTGTGTCTCCCCGTGTGTCTCCCCCTGTGTCTCCCCGTGTCTCCCCGTGTCTCCCCGTGTCCCCCCGTGTCTCCCCGTGTCTCCCCGTGTCTCCCCGTGTGTCTCCCCGTGTCTCCCCGTGTGTCTCCCCGTGTCTCCCCGTGTCTCCCCGTGTGTCTCCCCGTGTCTCTCCCCGTGTCTCCCCGTGTCTCTCCGTGTCTCCCCGTGTCTCTCCCCGTGTCTCTCCCCGTGTCTCTCCCCGTGTCTCCCCGTGTCTCCCCGTGTCTCTCCCCGTGTGTCTCACCTTGCTGGACCACTTCCGCGCCTCGTCATGCAGCTGCCTGGCGGCCACCATGATTGGTCGGTTGACCTCCGCCCCCGTCTCCAGCTCCGGGAACTCGTCATCACGCTCCTCAGGGGGAGGGGGCCGGGGTGGGGGCAGATCCCCCTCGGGGAGGGGCGGCTTCGGGGGGGCCGCCTCCTCCTCCTCACACAGCTACGGGGGGGGGGGTAGGGGGGGGAGGGTAGAGGGGTGACGGGGAGGGGGGGGTGACGGGGAGGGAGATGGAGGGGGAGAGGTGAAACTTCAATACGCGGAAGGCGATGGAAATGCAGAACATCTGTGTGTCTCTCTGTGTGTCTCCGTCTGTGTGTCTCTCTGTGTCTCTCTGTGTGTCTCTCTGTGTGTCCTTCTGTGCGTCTCTCTCTCCCCGCGTCTCTCTCCCCGCGTCTCTCTCTATCTCTCCCCGTGTTTCTCTCCCCGTGTCTCTCTCTCCCCGTGTCTCTCTCTCCCCGTGTCTCTCTCTCCCCGTGTCTCTCTCTCTCCCCGTGTCTCTCTCTCACCCCGTGTCTCTCTCTCTCCCCGTGTCTCTCTCTCTCCCCGTGCCTCTCTCTCCCCGTGTCTCTATCTCTCCCCGTGTCTCTCTCCCCGCGTCTCTCTCTCCCCGCGTCTCTCTCTCCCCGTGTCTCTCTCTCCCCGTGTCTCTCTCTCCCCGTGTCTCTCTCTCCCCGCGTCTCTCTCCCCGCGTCTCTCTCTATCTCTCCCCGTGTCTCTCTCCCCGTGTCTCTCTCTCCGCGTCTCTCTCTCCGCGTCTCTCTCTCCCCGTGTCTCTCTCTCCCCGTGTCTCTCTCTACCCGTGTCTCTCTCTCTCCGTGTCTCTCTCTCCCCGCGTCTCTCTCTCCCCGTCTCTCTCTCCCCGTGTCTCTCTCTCTCCGTGTCTCTCTCTCCCCGCGTCTCTCTCTCCCCGTCTCTCTCTCCCCGTGTCTCTCTCTCCGCGTCTCTCTCTCCCCGTGTCTCTCTCTCCCCGTGTCTCTCTCTACCCGTGTCTCTCTCTCTCCGTGTCTCTCTCTCCCCGCGTCTCTCTCTCCGCGTCTCTCTCTCCCCGTGTCTCTCTCTCCCCGTGTCTCTCTCTACCCGTGTCTCTCTCTCTCCGTGTCTCTCTCTCCCCGCGTCTCTCTCTCCCCGTCTCTCTCTCTCCGCGTCTCTCTCCCCGTGTCTCTCTCTCCCCGTGTCTCTCTCCCCGCGTCTCTCTCTCCCCGCGTCTCTCTCCCCGCGTCTCTCTCTCCCCGCGTGTCTCCCCCGGTTTACGTTGAGGCTGTCCAGGTCGGGTGGTGGTGGTGGGAACTCCGGGGTATGGAACGCTCCGCGCACTCTGCCCACAGACTCAAGGACACGCTGCCCACACTCCAGGAAGTCTTTCTGCAGCCCTACAAGGACAGGGACAGGCAGAGAGTGAGACAGGGAGAGGCAGAGAGTGAGACAGAGACAGGGAGATGAGAGGGTGATAAACAGAAGGCGAGACACGCATGGGGAGAGACACGGGGAGAGTTATTGTGTTAGTGTGTTGTGATATTGTATTGTGTTATTGTGTTGTGGGGAGAGAGAGAGACACGGGGAGAGTTATTGTGTTAGTGTGTTGTGATATTGTATTGTGTTATTGTGTTGTGTTATTGCGTTAGTGTTGTTATTGTGTTGTGATATTGTGTTGCGTTATTGTGCTGTGTTATTATGTTGTGATATTGTGTTGTGTTATTGTGTTGTGATATTGTGTTGTGATATTGTGTTGTGTTATTATGTTATTGTGTTGTGATAGTGTTATTGTGTTGTGTTATTGTGTTGTGATAGTGTGTTGTGTTATTATATTGTGTTATTGTGTTGTGTTATTATGTTATTGTGTTGTGATATTGTGTTGTGATATTGTATTGTGTTATTGTGTTGTGTTATTGCGTTAGTGTTGTTATTGTGTTGTGATATTGTGTTGTTATTGTGTTATTGTGTTCTGTTATTATGTTATTGTGTTGTGATATTGTGTTGTGATATGGTGTTATTGTGTTGTGATATTGTGTTATTGTGTTGTGATATTGTGTTGTGATATTGTGTTGTGATATTGTGTTAGTGTTGTGATATTGTGTTGTGTTATTGTGTTGTGTTATTGTGATATTGTGTTGTGTTATTGTGTTGTGTTATTGTGTTATTCTTTTATTGTGTTTGTGTGACTTTGTGTTTCATATCAAAATCGCCTTCAGTGCTGTTGCTGCTACAAGTCACAAGTCTCTCCGTGTCTCTCTCTCCCCGTGTCTCTCTCTCTCTCCCCGTGTCTCTCTCTCTCCCAGTGTCTCTCTCTCTCTATCTCTCTCTCCCCGTGTCTCTCTCTCTCTCCCCGTGTCTCTCTCTCACCCCGTGTCTCTCTCTCACCCCGTGTCTCTCTCTCTCCCCGTGTCTCTCTCTCTCCCCGTGTCACTCTCTCTCCCCGTGTCTCTCTCTCTACCCGTGTCTCTCTCTCTCCCCGTGTCTCTCTCTCTCCCCGTGTCTCTCTCTCCCCGTGTCTCTCTCCCCCCCGTGTCTCTCTCTCCCCCCAGTGTCTCTCTCTCCCCCCATGTCTCCCTCTCCCCGTGTCTCTCTCCCCGTGTCTCTCTCTCCCCCGTGTCTTTCTCTCCCCGTGTCTCTCTCCCCCCGTGTCTCTCTCTCCCCCCATGTCTCTCTCTCTCCTGTGTCTCTCTCTCCCTGTGCCTCTCTCACCCCGTGTCTCTCTCTCCCCATGTCTCTCTCCCTGTGTCTCTCACCCCGTGTCTCTCTCTCTCCGTGTCTCTGTCTCCCCGTGTCTCTCTCTCTCCCCGTGTCTCTCTCCCCGTGTCTCTCTCTCTCCCCCCCGTGTCTCTTTCTCACCGTGTCTCTCTCTCCCCATGCCTCTCTCTCCCCGTCTCTCTCTCCCCGTGTCTCTCTCTCTCCCCGTGTCTCTCTCTCTCTCCCCGTGTCTCTCTCTCTCTCCCCGTGTCTCTCTCCCCGTGTCTCTCTCTCTCTCCCCGTGTCTCTCTCTCTCTCCCCGTGTCTCTCTCCCCCCTCCGTGTCTCTCTCCCCCCCGTGTCTCGTGTCTCTCCCCCCCCCCCGCCGTGTCTCTCTCCCCCCCGTGTCTCTCTCTCCCCGTGTCTCTCTCCCCGTGTCTCTCTCTCCCCGTGTCTCTCTCCCCGTGTCTCTCTCCCCCCCGTGTCTCTCCCCCCCCCCGTGTCTCTCCCCCCCCCCGCCGTGTCTCTCTCTCTCTCCCCGTGTCTCTCTCTCTCTCCCCCCCGTGTCTCTCTCTCCCCGTGTCTCTCTCTCCCCATGCCTCTCTCTCCCCGTGTCTCTCTCTCTCTCCCCGTGTCTCTCTCTCTCTCCCCGTGTCTCTCTCCCCCCCGTGTCTCTCTCTCCCCGTGTCTCTCTCTCTCCCCGTGTCTCTCTCTCTCCCCGTGTCTCTCTCTCTCTCCCCGTGTCTCTCTCTCTCCCCGTGTCTCTCTCTCTCTCTCCCCGTGTCTCTTTCTCTCTCCCCGTGTCTCTTTCTCTCTCCCCGTGTCTCTCTCTCTCCCCGTGTCTCCCACTCTCTCCCCGTGTCTCTCTCTCTCTCCCCGTGTCTCCCTCTCTCTCCCCGTGTCTCTCTCTCTCTCCCCGTGTCTCTCTCTCTCCCCGTGTCTCTCTCTCTCTCCCCGACTCTCTCTCTCCCCGTGTCTCTCTCCCCGTCTCTCTCTCTCTCCCCGTGTCTCTCTCTCTCTCCCCGTGTCTCCCTCTCTCTCCCCGTGTCTCTCTCTCTCTCCCCGTGTCTCTCTCTCTCCCCGTGTCTCTCTCTCTCTCCCCGTGTCTCCCTCTCTCTCCCCGTGTCTCTCTCTCTCTCCCCGTGTCTCTCTCTCTCTCCCCGTGTCTCTCTCTCTCTCCCCGTGTCTCTCTCTCTCTCCCCGTGTCTCCCTCTCTCTCCCCGTGTCTCTCTCTCTCTCCCCGTGTCTCTCTCTCTCCCCGTGTCTCTCTCTCTCTCCCCGTCTCTCTCTCTCCCCGTGTCTCTCTCTCCCCGTGTCTCTCTCCCCCCCCCCCGTGTCTCTCCCCCCCCCCCCGCCGTGTCTCTCTCTCTCTCCCCGTGTCTCTCTCTCTCTCCCCGTGTCTCTCTCTCTCTCCCCGTGTCTCTCTCCCCGTGTCTCTCTCTCTCTCCCCGTGTCTCTCTCTCTCTCCCCGTGTCTCTCTCCCCCCTCCGTGTCTCTCTCCCCCCCGTGTCTCGTGTCTCTCCCCCCCCCCCGCCGTGTCTCTCTCCCCCCCGTGTCTCTCTCTCCCCGTGTCTCTCTCCCCGTGTCTCTCTCTCCCCGTGTCTCTCTCCCCGTGTCTCTCTCCCCCCCGTGTCTCTCCCCCCCCCCGTGTCTCTCCCCCCCCCCCGCCGTGTCTCTCTCTCTCTCCCCGTGTCTCTCTCTCTCTCCCCCCCGTGTCTCTCTCTCCCCGTGTCTCTCTCTCCCCATGCCTCTCTCTCCCCGTGTCTCTCTCTCTCTCCCCGTGTCTCTCTCTCTCTCCCCGTGTCTCTCTCCCCCCCGTGTCTCTCTCTCCCCGTGTCTCTCTCTCTCCCCGTGTCTCTCTCTCTCCCCGTGTCTCTCTCTCTCTCCCCGTGTCTCTCTCTCTCCCCGTGTCTCTCTCTCTCTCTCCCCGTGTCTCTCTCTCTCTCCCCGTGTCTCTTTCTCTCTCCCCGTGTCTCTCTCTCTCCCCGTGTCTCTCTCTCTCTCCCCGTGTCTCTCTCTCTCTCCCCGTGTCTCCCTCTCTCTCCCCGTGTCTCTCTCTCTCTCCCCGTGTCTCCCTCTCTCCCCGTCTCTCTCTCTCTCTCCCCGTCTCTCTCTCTCCCCGTGTCTCTCTCCCCGTCTCTCTCTCTCTCCCCGTGTCTCTCTCTCTCTCCCCGTGTCTCCCTCTCTCTCCCCGTGTCTCTCTCTCTCTCCCCGTGTCTCTCTCTCTCCCCGTGTCTCTCTCTCTCTCCCCGTGTCTCCCTCTCTCTCCCCGTGTCTCTCTCTCTCTCCCCGTGTCTCTCTCTCTCCCCGTGTCTCTCTCTCTCTCCCCGTGTCTCTCTCTCTCTCCCCGTGTCTCCCTCTCTTTCCCCGTGTCTCTCTCTCTCTCCCCGTGTCTCTCTCTCTCCCCGTGTCTCTCTCTCTCTCCCCGTCTCTCTCTCCCCCCGTGTCTCTCTCTCCCCGTGTCTCTCTCCCCCCCCCCCCGTGTCTCTCCCCCCCCCCCCGCCGTGTCTCTCTCTCTCTCCCCGTGTCTCTCTCCCCGTGTCTCTCTCTCTCCCCGTGTCTCTCTCCCCGTGTCTCTCTCACCCCCCCGTCTCTCTCTCCCCCCCCCGTCGTGTCTCTCTCTCTCCGTGTCTCTCTCTCTCCCCGTGTCTCTCTCCCCATGTCTCTCTTTCACCCTGTCTCTCTCTCTCTCCCCTTGTCTCTCTCTCCCCGTGTCTCTCTCTCCCCGTGTCTCTCTCCCCTCCGTGTCTCCCCCCCCCCCCCCCGTGTCTCCCCCCCCCCCCCCCGTGTCTCCCCCCCCCTCCCCCTCCGTGTCTCTCTCCCCCCCCCCCCCCCGTGTCTCTCCCCCCTCCCCCCCCGTGTCTCTCCTCTCTCACCGGGCTGTGCGATGTTGTGAGCCAGCGCCTTGGCTCCCATCACCATGGGGGCGATGGCGGCCTCCACGTCCGAGGCGGCGTTGCCGATCCTCTCCCGGAATGCAGGATCCTCAGAGTTCTCCGTCTCCCTCCGGGACACGAGGAGGATGCGGTTGGCTCGCCGGGCGATGCTGGTCGCCCCGGCAACCAGCGTCTGGGGCTGCATCGTCGCCATGGCAACCTGGGGAGGGGAGCAGGCGGGGGGTAGAGACACGGGGAGGGGGGGGGGGGGGGGTGCGAGAGACACGCGGTCAGAGAGAGAGACACGGGGTGAGAGAGAGAGAGACGCGGGGAGAGAGAGAGACACGGGGAGAGAGAGAGAGACACGGGGAGAGAGAGACACGGGGAGAGAGAGAGACGTGGGGGAGAGAGAGACGCGGGGAGAGAGAGACGGGGGGAGAGAGAGACACGGGGGGAGAGAGACGCGGGGAGAGAGAGACACGGGGTGAGAGAGACATGGGCTGAGAGAGACAGAGACACGGGAAGAGACACGGGGTGAGAGAGAGAGAGACGGAGAAAGAGAGAGAGACGCGGGGTGAGAGAGACACGGGGAGAGAGAGACACGGGGTGAGAGAGAGACACGGGGAGAGAGAGACACGGGGTGAGAGACGCGGGGTGAGAGAGACACGGGGAGAGAGAGAGACACGGGGAGAGAGAGAGACACACGGGGAGAGAGAGAGACACGGGGAGAGGGAGAGACACGGGGAGAGGGAGAGACAAACTGGGAGAGGGAGAGAGAGACACGGGGTGAGAGAGACAGACACGGGGTGAGAGAGAGATACAGGGTGAGAGGCACGTGGATGAGAGAGGCACGTGGGGTGACAGAGCGATAGACAGACCCTCACCTTGCATCTCTCCAGGTCTTTCCTGATTGCTTCTTCAGACGCGTCGATGAGTGACGGGGTGTCTATCGCACTGTCCACCAGCCCTGAGACACAGACACGCACGGGAGAATGCTCTCACTATCTCCACGTTCCCCACCCACTGATTCCTCATTGTCTCAATCTATCCCAATCTCCCTCACTATCTCCCGCTATCTCCCGCTATCTCCCCCTCACTATCTCTCTCACTATCTCTCTCCCCTCACTATCTCTCTCTCTCCCTCACCCTCTCTCTCCCCCTCACTATCTCTCTCTCCCTCACTATCTCTCTCTCCCCCTCAATATCTCTCACTATCTCTCTCTCACTATCTCTCTCTCACTATCTCTCTCTCACTATCTCTCTCTCCCTCACTATCTCTCTCTCCCTCACTATCTCTCTCCCTCACTATCTCTCTCTCCCTCACTATCTCACTATCTCTCTCTCCCTCACTATCTCACTATCTCTCTCTCTCCCCCTCACTATCTCTCTCTCCCTCACTATCTCACTATCTCTCTCTCCCTCACTATCTCTCTCTCTCCCCCTCACTATCTCTCTCCCTCACTATCTCACTATCTCTCTCTCCCTCACTATCTCACTATCTCTCTCTCCCTCACTATCTCACTATCTCTCTCTCTCCCCCTCACTATCTCCCCCTCACTATCTCTCTCTCCCTCACTATCTCCCCCTCACTATCTCTCTCTCCCTCACTATCTCCCCCTCACTATCTCTCTCTCCCTCACTATCTCCCCCTCACTATCTCTCTCTCTCCCCCTCACTATCTCTCTCTCACTATCTCTCTCCCCCTCACTATCTCTCTCTCCCTCACTATCTCTCTCTCCCTCACTATCTCCCCCTCACTATCTCTCTCTCCCTCACTATCTCCCCCTCACTATCTCTCTCTCTCCCCCTCACTATCTCTCTCTCACTATCTCTCCCCCTCACTATCTCTCTCTCTCTCCCTCACTATCTCTCTCTCTCTCCCTCACTATCTCTCTCACTATCTCTCTCTCCCTCACAATCTCTCCCCCTCACTATCTCTCTCTCTCCCTCACTATCTCTCTCTCTCTCCCTCACTATCTCTCTCACTATCTCTCTCTCCCTCACAATCTCTCCCCCTCACTATCTCTCTCACTATCTCTCCCCCTCACTATCTCTCTCTCTCTCCCTCACTATCTCTCTCTCTCCCTCACTATCTCTCTCTCCCTCACAATCTCTCTCCCTCACTATCTCTCTCACTATCTCTCTCCCTCACTATCTCTCTCTCCCTCACTATCTCTCTCCCTCACTATCTCTCTCTCCCTCACTATCTCTCTCTCCCTCACTATCTCTCTCTCTCTCCCCCTCACTATCTCTCTCTCCCTCACTATCTCTCTCCCTCACTATCTCACTATCTCTCTCTCCCTCACTATCTCACTATCTCTCTCTCTCTCTCCCTCACTATCTCTCTCTCCCTCACTATCTCCCCCTCACTATCTCTCTCTCCCTCACTATCTCCCCCTCACTATCTCTCTCTCTCCCTCACTATCTCTCTCCCTCACTATCTCCCCCTCACTATCTCTCTCTCCCTCACTATCTCCCCCTCACTATCTCTCTCTCTCTCCCTCACTATCTCTCTCACTATCTCTCTCTCCCTCACTATCTCTCCCTCACTATCTCTCTCTCCCTCACTATCTCTCTCACTATCTCTCTCCCCCTCACTATCTCTCTCTCACTATCTCTCCCCCTCACTATCTCTCTCTCTCACTATCTCTCTCTCCATCACCCCCCTCACTATCTCTCTCCCCCTCACTATCTCTCTCACTATCTCTCCCTCACTATCTCTCTCACTATCTCTCTCTCCCTCACTATCTCTCTCTCACAATCTCTCTCTCTCTCCCTCACTATCTCTCTCTCTCTCTCCCTCACTATCTCTCTCTCTCTCTCCCTCACTATCTCTCTCTCTTTCCCTCTCTCTCACTATCTCTCTCTCTCACAATCTCTCCCTCACTATCTCTCTCTCTCTCCCTCTCTCTCACTATCTCTCTCCCTCACTATCTCTCTCCCCATCTCTCTCTCTCACTATCTCTCTCTCTCACTATCTCTCTCTCTCTCTCACCTGTCAGCGTCTCCACGTTCTCCACCCACTGATTCCGCATCGTCTCCAGGTGCTCCTCTGCCGCCTGATTCCCCGGATTCTTCAAAACGATCTTGGCTGCCGACACCACCTGGGCCAATCAGAGAGCAGAGATCGCTGCTGACACCACCTGGACCAATCAGAGAGCAGAGATCGCTAGAGCACAACACACGGGCCAATCAGAGAGCAGAGATCGCTAGAGAAACGACACACGGGCCAATCAGAGAGCAGAGATCGCTAGAGCAACGACACCCGGGCCAATCAGAGAGCAGAGATCGCTAGAGAAACGACACACGGGCCAATCAGAGAGCAGAGATCGCTAGAGCACAACACACGGGCCAATCAGAGAGCAGAGATCGCTAGAGCAACAACACACGGGCCAATCAGAGAGCAGAGGTCGCTAGCAACACCTGAACCAATCAGAGAGCAGAGATCGCTAGCAACGACACACGGGCCAATCAGAGAGCAGAGATCGCTAGAGCAACAACACACGGGCCAATCAGAGAGCAGAGATCGCCAGAGCAACAACACACGGGCCAATCAGAGAGCAGAGATCGCTAGAGCACAACACACGGGCCAATCAGAGAGCAGAGATCGCTAGAGCAACGACACACGGGCCAATCAGAGAGCAGAGATCGCTAGAGCAACAACACACGGGCCAATCAGAGAGCAGAGATCGCCAGAGCAACAACACACGGGCCAATCAGAGAGCAGAGATCGCTAGAGCAACGACACACGGGCCAATCAGAGAGCAGAGATCGCTAGCAACACCTGAACCAATCAGAGAGCAGAGATCGCTAGAGCAACGACACCCGGGCCAATCAGAGAGCAGAGATCGCTAGAGCAAACGACACGCGGGCCAATCACAGAGCAGAGATCGCTAGCAACAACACGCGGGCCAATCAGAGAGCAGAGATCGCTAGCAACACCTGAACCAATCAGAGAGCAGAGATCGCTAACGCAACAACAACACACGGGCCAATCGGAGAGGAGAGATTGCTAGAGCACGACACATGGGCCAATCAGAGAGCAGAGATCCCTAGAGCAACAACACACGGGCCAATCGGAGAGCAGAGATCGCTAGCAACAACACACGGGCATATCAGCGAGCAGAGATCCCTAGAGCAACAACACCTGAACCAATCAGAGAGCAGAGACCGCCAGAGCAACAACGACACCCGAACCAATCAGAGAGCAGAGATCGCCAGCACAGCAACGACACACGGGCCAATCACAGAGCAGAGATCGCCAGCACAGCAACGACACACGGGCCAATCACAGAGCAGAGACCGCCAGGGCAGCAGCCGTGACCGCGGAAACGGCGGCGACGTCGCCGTGGCCGCGGCGACGTCGCCGTGGCTACGTCGCCGTGGCTACGTCGCCGTGGCTACGTCGCCGTGGCTACGTCGCCGTGGCTACGTCGCCGTGGCTACGTCGCCGTGGCTACGGCGCCGTGGCTACGTCGCCGTGGCTACGTCGCCGTAACCGCGGCGACGTTGCCGTGGCTACGTCGCCGTGACTACGTCGCCGTGACCGTGGCTACGTCGCCGTGGCTACGTCGCCGTGGCTACGTCGCCACGGCGACGTCGCCGTGGCTACGTCGCCGTGGCTACGTCGCCGTGGCTACGTCGCCGTAACCGCGGCGACCTGCGGGGTGAGCTCGCGGGCGGCCCGCACGGCGCCCGTGATGGCCTCGACGGAGGCGGCGTTCAGGGCCCCGACGGAGGCCGCCTTCTCGGCCGTGGACGCCAGGCGGCCGGCGTGGCGCTCAAACGCAGCGGCACGCTCGGCAAACACCTGGGGAGAGACGCAGACGCAGACAGACAGACAGACAGATAGACACACACACAGAGATAGACACGGAGATAGACTCAGAGATAGACACACAGAGACACACACGGAGCTAGACACACACACAGAGATAGACACGGAGATAGACACACAGAGATAGACACACACAGAGATAGACACACACACAGAGATAGACACACACACGGAGATAGACACACACGGAGATAGACACAGAGACAGACACACAGATAGACACACACAGAGATAGACACACACAGAGATAGACACGGAGATAGACACACAGAGATAGACACACAGATAGACACACACAGAGATAGACACACACAGAGATAGACACACACAGAGATAGACACACACACAGAGATAGACACGGAGATAGACACACAGAGATAGACACACAGATAGACACACACACAGACAGACACGGAGATAGACACACACAGAGATAGACACACAGATAGACACACACAGAGATAGACACACACAGAGATAGACACACAGATATAGACACACACACAAGAAAGAGACACACACAGATATAGACACACACACAGACAGACACACACACAGACAGACACACACAGATAGACACACTCAGAGATAGACACACAGATATAGACACACTCACAGATAGACACACTCAGATATAGACACACACAGAGATAGACACACTCAGAAAGAGACACACACAGATATAGACACACTCAGAGATAGACACACTCAGAGATAGACACACACACAGACAGACACACACAGATAGACACACTCAGAGATAGACACACAGATATAGACACACTCAGAGATAGACACACTCAGAGATAGACACACACAGATATAGACACACTCAGAGATAGACACACTCAGAAAGAGACACACAGATAGATAGACACACTCAGAGATAGACACACACAGACATAGACACAGATAGAGACACACTCAGAGATAGACACACACAGAGATAGACACGCAGATATAGACACACAGAGATAGACACACACAGATACACATACACACAGATAGACAGACACACAGAGACACACACAGATAGACACACACAGACACAAATATAGACACACACAGAGATAGACACACACAGAGATAGACACACACACAGACACAAACAGATAGACACACAGACACACACAGATAGACAGAGATATACACACAGACACACACAGATAGACACACAGACACACAGATAGAGATAGACACATACACAGATAGAGACACACAGAGATACACACACAGATAGAGATAGACACATACACAGATAGAGACACACAGAGATACACACACAGATAGAGATAGACGCATACACAGATAGAGACACAGAGATACATAGACACACTCACACGCTCCGCAAACACACGGAGAGTGAGTGAGCGAGTGGGTGAGTGGTGAGCAAGTGAATGAGCGATCGAGCGTGTGGTGAAAGAGCGGTGAGCGGGTAGGTGAGCGAGTGAGTGAGTGCGCGAGGGGTGAGTGGGTGAGCAAGCGACTGAGTGGTGAGCGAGTGGGTGAGCGAGCGAGCGGGCGGGCAGGCGGGCAAGCGGGCGGGTGGGTGAGTGAGTGAGTGATTGAGTGAGCGAGTGGGTGGGTAGATGAGTGAGTGGTGAGCGAATGAGCGAGCAGTGAGTGAGTGAAGCGATTGAGTGAGCGATTGAGTGAGCGAGCGATTGAGCGAGCGAGTGGGTGGGTAGATGAGTGAGTGGTGAGCGAGTGGGTGAGCGAGCGGGCGGGCAGGCGGGCGGGCAAGCGGGCGGGTGAGTGAGTGATTGAGTGAGCGAGTGAGTGAGCGAGTGGATGGGTAGATGAGTGAGTGGTGAGCGAATGAGGCGAGTGAGTGAGTGGTGAGTGAGTGGGTGAAGTGAGTGAGTGAGCGAGTGGTGAGTGAGTGGGCGAGTGAGTGAGTGGTGAGTGAGTGGGTGAAGTGAGTGAGTGAGTGGGTGAGCGAGCGAGCGAGCGAGCGAGTGGGTAGATGAGTGAGTGGTGAGTGAGCGAGCGGGTGAAGCGAGTGAGTGGGTGAAGTGAGTGGTGAGTGAGTGAGTGGTGAGTGAGTGGTGAGTGAGTGGTGAGTGAGTGGTGAGTACCCGGTCTCGGTTGGGAGTGTTGACTGGGGCCATCGCGGCCACGGTGAGGAGCTTGATGGGGGTGGTGGTGTCGCTGAAGATGTCACAAACTTCACGAGTCACCACATCCTGCATACGAGCCTTCAACTCCTACACACAGAGACACAGAGACACACACAGAGACACACACAGAGACACACACAGAGACACACACAGAGACACACACAGACACTCACACAGACACTCACACAGACACACACACAGACACTCACACAGAGACACACACAGAGACACACACAGAGACACACAGACACACACAGAGACACTCACACAGAGACACTCACACAGAGACACACACAGAGACACACACAGAGACACACACAGAGACACTCACAGAGACACACAGAGACACACAGACACTCACACAGAGACACTCACACAGAGACACTCACACAGAGACACTCACACAGAGACACACAGACACTCACACAGAGACACACACACAGAGACACACACACAGAGACACACACACACAGACACACACACACAGAGACACACACACAGACACTCACACAGAGACACACACACACAGACACTCACACAGAGACACACAGACACTCACACAGAGACACACAGACACTCACACAGAGACACACAGATACTCACACAGAGACACTCACACAGAGACACACACAGACACTCACAGACACACACAGAGACACACAGAGACACACACAGAGACACACACAGACACTCACACAGACACTCACACAGAGACACTCACAGACACACATACAGAGACTCACACAGAGACACACAGAGACACACACAGAGACACTCACAGAGACACTCACAGAGACACTCACAGAGACACACAGAGACACACACAGACACTCACAGACACACACACAGACACACACAGAGACACACAGAGACACACAGAGACACTCACAGAGACACACACAGAGACACACAGAGACACACAGAGACACACAGAGACACACAGAGACACACACATAGAGACACTCACACAGAGACACACACAGAGACACACACACAGAGACACACACACAGAGACACACACACAGAGACACACACACAGAGACACACACACAGAGACACACACAGAGACTCACACAGAGACACTCACAGAGACACACACAGAGACACACAGAGAGACACACACAGAGACACTCACACAGACACACACAGAGACACTCACACAGACACACACAGAGACACACACAGACACTCACACAGACACTCACAGAGACACACACAGAGACACACACAGAGACACACACAGAGACACACACAGAGACACACACAGAGACACACACAGAGACACTCACAGAGAGACACTAACACAGAGACACTCACACAGAGACACTCACACAGAGACACTCACACAGAGACACTCACACAGAGACACTCACAGAGACACACACAGAGACACACACAGAGACTCTCACAGAGACACACACAGAGACACTCACAGACACACACACAGAGACACACACAGACACACACAGACACACACACAGACACACACACAGAGACACACACAGAGACACACACAGAGACACACACACAGAGACACACACACAGAGACACACACAGAGACACGCACACAGAGACACGCACACAGAGACACGCACACAGAGACACTCACACAGACACACACAGAGACACACAGACACTCACACAGAGACTCACACAGACACTCACACAGAGACACACACAGAGACACACACAGAGACACTCACAGAGACAAACACAGAGACACACACAGAGACACACACAGAGACACACACAGAGACACACAGAGACACACACAGACACACACAGACACACACAGAGACACACACACAGAGACACACACACAGAGACACACACACAGAGACACACACACAGAGACACACACAGAGACACTCACGGTGCAGTGTTGAGTCTATGGTGCGGTGTTGAGACTATGGTGCAGTGTTGAGTCTATGGTGCAGTGCTGAGTCTATGGTGCAGTGTTGAGTCTATGGTACAGTGTTGAGTCTATGGTGCAATGTTGAGTCTATGGTGCAGTGTAGAGTCTATGGTACAGTGTTGAGTCTATGGTGCAATGTTGAGTCTATGGTGCAGTGTTGAGTCTATGGGGCAGTGTTGAGTCTATGGTGCAGTGTTGAGTCTATGGTGCAGTGCTGAGTCTATGGTGTAGTGTTGAGTCTATGGTGCAGTGTTGAGTCTATGGTGCAGTGTTGAGTCTATGGTGCAGTGTTGAGTCTATGGTGCAGTGTTGAGTCTATGGTGCAGTGTTGAGTCTATGGGTAGTGTTGAGTCTATGGTGCAGTGTTGAGTCTATGGTGCAATGTTGAGTCTATGATGCAGTGCTGAGTCTACGGGCAGTGTTGTGTCTATGGGCAGTGTTGAGTCTATGGGTAGTGTTGAGTCTATGGAGCAGTATTGAGTCTATGGGCAGTGTTGAGTCTATGGTGCAGTGTTGAGTCTATGGTGCAGTGTTGGGTCTATGGTGCAGTGTAGAGTCTATGGTGCAGTGTTGAGTCTATGGTGCAGTGTTGAATATGGTGCAGTGTTGAGTCTATGGGCAGTGTTGAGTCTATGGGCAGTGTTGAGTCAATGGGCAGTGTTGAGTCTATGGGCAGTGTTGAGTCTATGGTGCAGTGCTGAGTCTATGGTGCAGTGCTGAGTCTATGGTGCAGTGCTGAGTCTATGGGCAGTGTTGAGTCTATGGTGCAGTGTTGAGTCTATGGGCAGTGTTGAATCTATGGTGCAGTGTTGAGTCGATGGTGCAGTGTTGAGTCTATGGTGCAGTGTTGAGTCTATGGTGCAGTGTTGAGTCTATGGGGCAGTGCTGAGTCTATGGTGCAGTCCTGAGTCTATGGTGTAGTGTTGAGTATATGGTGCAGTGTTGAGTCTATGGTGTAGTGTTGACTCTATGGTGCAGTGTTGAGTCTATGGTGCAGTATTGAGTCTATGGTGTAGTGTTGAGTCTATGGTGGTGTTGAGTCTATGGTGCAGTGTTGAGTCTATAGTGCAGTGTTGAGTCTATGGTGCAGTGTTGAGTCTATAGTGCAGTGTTGAGTCTATGGTGCAGTGGTGAGTCTATAGTGCTAGTGTATAGTGTAGTGTGCTAGTGTATAGTCTAGAGTGGTAGTGTGTAGTGTGAGTGTATAGTGTATAGTGGTAGTGTATAGTGCTAGTGTATAGTGGTAGTGTATACTGCTAGTGTATAGTGCTAGTGTGTAGTGTATAGTGCTAGTGTATAGTGTGTAGTGCTAGTGTATAGTGTGTAGTGGTAGTGTATAGTGTGTAGTGGTAGTGTGTAGTGTATAGTGCTAGTGTATAATGTGTAGTGGTAGTGTGTAGTGTATAGTGCTAGTGTATAGTGGTAGTGTGTAGTGTATAGTGCTAGTGTATAGTGGTAGTGTGTAGTGTATAGTGCTAGTGTATAGTGCTAGTGTATAGTGTATAGTGCTAGTGTATAGTGTGTAGTGGTAGTGTGTAGTGTATAGTGCTAGTGTATAGTGGTAGTGTGTAGTGTATAGTGCTAGTGTATAGTGCTAGTGTATAGTGCTAGTGTATAGTGCTAGTGTATAGTGTGTAGTGCTAGTGTATAGTGTGTAGTGGTAGTGTATAGTGTGTAGTGGTAGTGTATAGTGTGTAGTGTATAGTGTGTAGTGTATAGTGCTAGTGTATAGTGTGTAGTGGTAGTGTATAGTGGTAGTGTGTAGTGTATAGTGCTAGTGTATAGTGTGTAGTGGTAGTGTATAGTGTGTAGTGTATAGTGTGTAGTGTATAGTGCTAGTGTATAGTGTGTAGTGGTAGTGTGTAGTGCTAGTGTATAGTGTGTAGTGGTAGTGTGTAGTGTATAGTGTGTAGTGTATAGTGTGTAGTGTATAGTGCTAGTGTATAGTGCTAGTGTATAGTGTGTAGTGGTAGTGTATAGTGGTAGTGTATAGTGTGTAGTGTATAGTGGTAGTGTAGTGTGTAGTGGTAGTGTATAGTGTGTAGTGTATAGTGCTAGTGTATAGTGGTAGTGTATAGTGGTAGTGTATAGTGTGTAGTGTATAGTGTGTAGTGTATAGTGTGTAGTGTATAGTGCTAGTGTATAGTGCTAGTGTATAGTGGTAGTGTATAGTGGTAGTGTATAGTGGTAGTGTATAGTGTGTAGTGTATAGTGTGTAGTGGTAGTGTAGTGTGTAGTGGTAGTGTATAGTGTGTAGTGGTAGTGTATAGTGTGTAGTGTATAGTGCTAGTGTATAGTGTGTAGTGTATAGTGGTAGTGTGTAGTGTATAGTGTGTAGTGGTAGTGTATAGTGTGTAGTGTATAGTGTGTAGTGTATAGTGTGTAGTGTAGTGTGTAGTGGTAGCGTATAGTGTGTAGTGTATAGTGTGTAGTGGTAGTGTATGGTGTATAGTGTGTAGTGTATAGTGCTAGTGTATAGTGCTAGTGTATAGTGCTAGTGTGTAGTGGTAGTGTGTAGTGGTAGTGTGTAGTGTATAGTGTACAGTGCTAGTGTATAGTGGTAGTGTATAGTGTGTAGTGTAATAGTGCTAGTGTATAGTGCTAGTGTGCAGTGTGAGTGTGTAGTGTGAGTGTGTAGTGGATGTGTGTAGTGTATAGTGTATAGCGGTAGTGTATAGTGTGAGTGTATAGTGCTAGTGTATAGTGCTAGTGTATAGTGTGAGTGTGTAGTGTATAGTGCTAGTGTAAAGTGTGTAGTGGTAGTGTATAGTGTGAGTGTATAGTGCTAGTGTATAGTGCTAGTGTATAGTGTGTAGTGGTAGTGTATAGTGTGTAGTGGTAGTGTGTAGTGTGAGTGTGTAGTGTGTAGTGGTAGTGTGTAGTGTATATTGTATAGTGTGTAGTGTATAGTGTAGTGTAGTGTATAGTGTTAGTGTATAGTGTGTAGTGTATAGTGTAGTGTATAGTGTGTAGTGTAGTGTGTAGTGTAGTGTGAGTGCTAGTGTATAGTGCTAGTGTATAGTGTAGTGTATAGTGTAGTGTATAGTGTAGTGTATAGTGTAGTGTATAGTGTGTAGTGGTAGTGTATAGTGTAGTGGTAGTGTATAGTGTAGTGGTAGTGTATAGTGTAGTGGTAGTGTATAGTGTAGTGGTAGTGTATAGTGTAGTGGTAGTGTATAGTGTAGTGTATAGTG